CAGGACATCACATGTAGCAGTAAGGCTAGAGCGACTGATTTGATCAAAGTCTCCTTAGCTGCCCAAGACAGGGTACTGTGTTTCCACCCCTGAAGTCGGTTGAGCAACTTATCCTCGAGGAACCGAAAAGTGGCCATTTTTTACCGCGCAATCAACATTGGCAATCCCAGATGTTTGTCCTGGAACCCCACCTCTCCAACCCCCAAGATTTCCGCAAGGAATTCCTGATCAGGCAGCGAAACATTCTTGCTAAAACAGACCGTTGATTTCTCCAAGTTAACCCGTTGGCCACTGAGTTCCTCATAAGTGTTGAGAACCTCAATCAAGTTCTCACATTCTTGGTGAGAGCCTCTAAGAAACAAGTAAAAATCATCTACAAAGAACAAATGTGAAATCCTAGGCGCCCTGGGTGCCACCTTCACCCCTTCCAGCTTACTCATAGCAATAGCCTGAAAATTGAGAGCCGCAAAACCCTCCTTGCAGAGAACAAAAAGCAATGGGGAAAGAGGGTCTCTCTGTCTTAGTCCCCGGGACGGGGCAAAGAATCCAGAGGTGGTACCATTCATAAGAACGGAGAAGGAGGACGGTATGAGGCATTCATGAACCCATTCACACCAAATGGAGTTAAAGCCTAACTTTTTTAAAATCGCAAGGAGAAAAGGCCATTCGACTCTGTCATAGGCCTTTTCTATGTCAACCTTTAGAGCCATGTACCCTTTCTTTCCTTGCTTTTTGATTTTCAAAAAGTGCATTAACTCATGGCCTATTAGAATGTTCTCCACAATGTGCCTTTCCTAGATAAAAGCATTTTGTCCATCAGAGATAATTTGGGGTAAACATTGGGCCAGCCTTTCTGCCATAATTTTGGTAATGATCTTATACACAAACTAGCAGAGGCTAATGGGCCTAAGTTGTTTCATGTTTTCCACGTTATCCACCTTGGGAATCAGCGTGAGCCAAGTATGATTGAAACTGCGGAGCATCCTGCTCGTCCTAAAGAAGGATCGAACTGCGTCAATCACCGATGCCCCCACTATATCCCAAAAAGCTTTAAACAATTTACTAGTAAACCCATCTGAGTCGGGTGCCTGTTTAGATCCCATAGAGAACACTGTTCGACAGATTTCCTCAGGAAGTACTTCCGCTGTAAGGGAGTCATTCATTGCCATAGAAACCTTGCACTCAATCGGAAGAGCGGCAATTTTGGCTTCCATGTTATGAACTTGGGACTTGGACGTAAATAAATGCTTATAGAAATTCGTTGCGATGTCAGCTTTCCCTTTTTCCTCCGTAACCCATTCCCCCTCATCATTATAGAGACCCGCCACAAAATTATGTTTCCGACGCACTCCGAGTCACCGTATGGAAGTATGAGGAGTTTTTATCACCCTTCTTGAGTCAGCGGACTCTGGATTTTTGTTGCCAATAGGTTTCCTCTGCTTCCCATTGCCGATTCAACTCAGATTCTAAAACCTTGACCTCCTCCCAATTAATCGGGTGACTAAGTTTCACCGGATCAATTTCATCTTGGAGGGTCTTAATGTTCCTGAGAGAATTCGTTGTCCCAGCTCTACTCCAATCATACAGCAGGTGGCGGAGCTTCTTCAATCTCTCCCACAATTGATACGTAGGGGACCCGTGTGCTTCTTTAGACCATACATTGGCCACCATAGCCCTGACTTCAGGATTGTCCGCCCAACGGGCATCAAAGCGGAAAAGAGGCCGACTCTGCCTTACATAGGGCTTGTCTGAAAGGATTAATGCTCGATGGTCAGACCCCTGATCCGTAAAATGCTTGAGAAGGGTGTCGGGGAAGGTATCAATCCAAGCCTGGGAGCATAGAGCTCTATCCAACCGCTCATAAATGAAGGCCGACCCCATCTGTTTGTTAGTCCAGGTGAACTGGTCACCCTGGTATCCCGGATCGTGGAGCCCAAGGTCCTGAATAAAATTTCGGAGAGGGATGGAAGGAGCCGCAGTCCAAGGATTTCCACCATATTTTTCATTTTCATTCAAAGTGACATTGAAATCGCCTAGGAGCACAAAGGGCAGTTGTATCTCTTCACACAATTGTCGAAGCATATTCAATTGGGTAGCCCGTCGGCCTTCATGACAACTTAAATAAACACAAATCACCACATACGAAAAAGTGCTTTCATTAATCCGAGCACAAATGAAAAAAATCGAATGATAAAACACCGAAGCGTCGACTTCGGGGGACCAACATACAACTAAACCACCAGCAGTATCGATGGTATCGACAAAAAAACAATGATTCAAATTGAAACCTAAACCCTGCATCCTGCGGGAAACTACTCTCCGGATCGATCTTGTTTCCGCAAAGAAAACAAAGGTCCGGTTTATCGGAATGAATTAAACCTACAACATTTTGGAATGTGAGGGATGGTCCGATTCCTCTCACATTCCAGGCAAGCAACCTCATTTAACCGATGGGGGCCACTCCAGGCTGGCTTCCTCCACCTTCTCATCAATAGATAGGGGTTCCACAAATTGCTTCTTTGGGTTAGGAGAGTTCTCCACCGTGCCACTCATTTCATCGAAAGTTCTCTTGCTTCCTCCTGCTCCAGGGTCCAGGCGATTGGTCCCATATTCATTCAATTTGGCAATCATCTCCCTTTCCGAGGCTGGAGGCGATTCAACATTTTTCAAGGCCCCTTTTCCTTTCGACACCTTAGCTCTTAATTCATCGCCATTCTCATTGAGATTCATGCTAGCCTCAAAAGATGCTAGCACTTGCCCCACACGACCCTAACCATTTCGTGCAGCAACAACCTGCTTCATTCCCCGGGGTCGGCGCCTTATTTCGAATTCCTGCTACTCGTCTTCAAGAGAAGACCCCACCGAGCCAACCCCATTCACAGCCTTCCCATACCCCATAGATTCCAAGGGCGACGGACAGCTATGCAAAGGAGTAAGCACAAACCGAGACGTCAATCAGAGTCTCAACACCCTTTTCCGACGTCGTTGTGTTCTTGCAACGAGGGCTCACCACTGCTGGTTTCGAATTTTTAGGGACTCGAGATCTTCCCTTAGGCCCTGCTTTGTCTTTTGGAAGTTTAGCCTTCCTTGGTTTGCGTGGGGTGGTTTTGGGAATCTTGGCCACCACCCTCATGGGTTTGGGGCTCCCCTCGGCTTGATCACCCCCATCGTTCTCCTCCCGCTGCATGGGCTGATTCAGGATCGGGAGATCATCCTCGGACTCGTCTTCCAGGATCATACGTCTCCTCCGGGTCATAACCTGTGGATGGATATTGGCCGCCAGCTCCGGCTCACTGAAATTGTCGAGCAACTGGGAGTGCTGGCCTTTCACCTCCATTTTTGCCTTCCTCATTGAAGGCATGTCGTCTCGCAGCTGTTCCTCCCTCTGTTGGTGCTGCGGCCGCACATCCCTTATAGGGGACTCCTCAGTCAGAATGGACGACATCTCTTCCTTCCCTCGACGTCGCGCATGCTTCAGCTCCGCACGGTGAGGGACCCCCACCTTCCCAGCACACGAGTGCTCCCCGATCTCCTGCCACGTCGTGGATGACGGGCGCCTTTGCCAAGGTGCAGTCGATGTGACTTTTTAATGGTGAAGCCCCGAGGGCTGTTACCCCGGTTCCGTGTTTCCAATGTCGTATTCTCCATCCCCTTCTTTGGGTACCGAATCTCAGCTTGAGCCACTAGAACCATCTCTGTGGTTTCTTTTTTCGAGAATCCAGGCCTGGTCCGATCAGTAGCCAAAGTTTTCCCACGAATATCTTTATTGATCCACACTGTTTTTGACCCACCGCGATATGAAGGATTGTCATCATAGAGGCGAGTACCAGTCTTTTTGGTAGACATGTGAGGGCCGAATCTTTCTTTCCCGGTAGGAGAATCGAATGAACAATCACTCATGATGTGCCCAACTCGGCCACAATGAAAATAGAATGTCGGCAGATGTTCATATTTCAAATTGATCCAAAAACATCATGTTTCCTCACTGGATGCCATGATTTGAGAACGTAGCGGCTGGGAAAAATTGATCATGGCCTTCACTCTGACAAAACATTGGTTGGTATCCGTGCAGGTAAACACACCTGATTCTAGGACATGGCCAATGGTGTCGTTCGCCATCTTTCTGCCGAACTGTTTTGTACAGCATTCTTCTTGTACCCCCCATAGCTGGACAAGAAAGGGAACGACAACCAGATAATCAAAAATCCCCTTAGTGATAACAGAGATCCAAGCACGGATATGTTGTATCTTATCCTTGATCACCCAAGGAGCTCTTTTCAGCACCCAGTTCCTCGAAGCCTCACTTGGTAGCACGAACTCAAACAAGCCGTTTTTAGCTGCCATCACCCTTATTTTCCCTTTCCCCTGCCACGGGAAGTTCAACGATTCCCTGAGCTCCGCCACCGTGACATTGCTGGTAGTGAAAACTCTACCCACCAGCGCGCACGAGCCACAGAATCGCGCAGGCTTGACCTCAGCCATGGAGAACTGGACCACCTGATCTTGCTGAATGCGAGCCATTGCAACCACTTGTGCACAACCAGGTTGGGTTAGTTCAATAGGTACCTTGGGAAACTTTAATTCCACGTTTCCTGGTTCACCAAAATGGCTATTGCGGAGGCAATCCGCCGAGCCTAAGGCACGAGAGGTGTTCATAGACACTGCTCTGTCATTAGTAAAATGGCCAAGGGGCAGAGAATGGGAAGGATGATGCAAACCTTGATTTGAACGAAGTTTGGTTGGAGCACTCTCCTTAATGCCGCCGCCCAAGCTACTCGAAGAATTATGTGAGTAGGCTGATGGAGGAAGGGGTTTAAATAAGGAAAAGAGTTAAAGCTCCAACCCTCCTCCTTCTCGGCCAATTAGCTTAGAGGACGGGAATTGTTTGCATGGGAAGGACGTCTACGTAAGGTAGGACTCATTTTTAAAAATTGGTTAGGGGCGGATAAGATCCCCCCAATCTCGGGCCTGGGGATAATCCAACAAGATCTCCTCACAGGCTATTCCATTACCTCCGCCTTTACGTTTCTACCTCCCTGAGTTTTGACGCCGGCAGAGGAACGGCGGCGAGATAGCACCAGAAAAAACCAGGCGTGGCCAAATGGCCGATCCCGCCCACAAATTCTAGTGGCCGACCATATTAGAAATCTGGAACGATCCATACAGTAGTGATAATCGCCATCAGTGAAGCGCTCATACAACGCGGATTGTGTCGTATCAGCGTCAGTCTCAACCTCCTCATCGAGGCAGGAAGAGGAGGGGAGCGTGAATCGCCAGATCTCTATTTTGGAAATCTTGGCACGTTTACTGTCATGAGCGGTTTCCAATGTATTTTCCTGGAAACAACCATGCTTCCATTTCTTGGTGATCCAAATCTTGGATCTTCGTTTTAGTTTTTGATTCCCGAAGAAAGCATCACTCAATCGAGTCGCAGTTCTGGGATTTGTATTGGGATTGGCTGACCATCTTTGCCATCTCCCTGGGTCAACAACCGACCCTTCATCAAGATCCGATTCAGACTGCACGCAGCCCCGAGGTGATCCCTGGTTGTGAGCATCTTCTGAAATGCAATCGAACTTCATTCGAAACGCGTCATCTCCTTGGTTGGTCAAACTAGCCTCTATCAACGCCAGAATCACCGAGAATAGAGTACGGCCAATTGAGCGGCCAAGCTCCAGGAGAGATGAGAGAACTTTCAGAAGCATTTTTTCTCTTTCTTCACCACACATCATGTGTTTGACTAAGTTTGACCATATCTAATTTAAAGTTAATTAAACTAACCACGAGAACCCTATAGGATGATCAGTTACAATTTGGGCTTAGAAGATGCTCGACCAATGATTATTCCATTTGTTATAATTAATTGCTATTTGAGCATTACTATTTAATAGATATTTTTATTTATAATTATTAAATAAAATTTTATTTATTATATAGTGATAATAAATCTATTTTGTAATAATATAATTTACTTACTTTTTACTCTACTTGCACCCCTACTTTTTCATTCTAAACAATAATTTCCTCCTCCACTTAAGCCGCTTACCAATTTACACTCCTACAATTTTTCACTCATCTTGCACCCCACTCGAATTTGCACAGCTAATTGCCAACAAAGTGTGAGGAAAACTCTCCTCCAGATAATTATCTTAAGTTCTTCACATAGTATAAATTCTTTGTTTAAGATTTCAAAGCTAATTGAACTTTCTGAAGATATTGTTTGGACAAATAAGGACAAAAGAGAAGAAGTCGAGGTCTAGATAAATAAATATATTTTTTGAGAAATGGATGACCAAAATTTTGAACTGAGAGAGTCTAGATGGACTTGTAGCTTATACTCGGTGATATTGTTGCACTTAATTAAAAGGATAATGTCTATTTTTTATCCAAATTCTTTCTAGATTTTTTTATATTATTCAAACCTATTAAAATTCTATTTATTAGCCAAATTTATCATAATGCATCAAAATATTAGTCATTTTTACGTTATCGTTAATAGTTTTGTAACTCATACTGAAATTTTAGAATGTTGACCTTCATGTAACTATTCCAAGTCAGTATCATGTTGCCAAATCAATATTACTAACAAAATTGCAATCTGAAAGTTAACATTTGTTAATTCTTAGTATTTCGATAGGTTTGAATAATATAAAAAAATCTGAAAAGATTTGGATAAAAAATAGACATTACCCTAATTAAAATACTAAATTCTCAAAAAACTCATAGTTGAATTAAAGAAAAATGCACCTAAAAATAATTTTGATCAGATTTTTTCTCAATAATATCGGTTCGAGCTCGGTTGAGTAACCATGTGAATGAGTTGCTATGTTGTCCCTAATAAACATGTCAAGGGTGACCCACATACTATACATGTAGAGAATTCATACTTCTTCAAAAGAAAATAATATGAAATTCCTTTACGAAGTTAAATCTACCATCTCTTGTTTTTAACAATACGCCTATAATTTGAGACTTAACATGGTAGAGATTAATTAATCCTACCAAATTGAGTGGCAACATATCTATCACTCTTTCCTCTCGCATATGGGCAAATTGAACAAAAGTTTGTTTGCAAATTATAAGGTAAAAGAAAATGTTGAGAAGTAGTTCATCATAATAAATTGACTTGTTGATAGAGGTAAACTATGAATTTTGCACCGTTCCGCACAATTCTCTTAAATTCAAATCAACTCATGATTTTGAAATTTATGATAAACCCACTCAATCAATTGTAATTATTGAAATATGGAGTATATACGGTCTCCACCATATAGTGAGTAACAATTGTTTTTTTTTTTTCGTTTTATTATGGAAGTGACATTTGTCACCCCCCCCCCCCCCCCCCCCCCCCCCCCCAAGATAAGTGTAACATTTGTTTTTAAGGGTCTGTGATTAAGAAAAATTTGTACTATGTGATTGACTGGACTACTGAATTATAATAAGTTATGATGTAGGCATTAAAATTCCTTAAAGCTTAAACCATCTTAGCGGAAGAAACTAGGGGGAGGAGGAGAAGACCCGACACGGAGAGGGAAAAAAGAGGGAGTCAATCAATTGACGCGTGGGGTGGGGTGGACAAAATTCCGGTTCGGGCCATTTGACCCAGCTCAGCCTGACCCGAAATTCGGCCTTCACTTTTCCTTCTACATTCCCGAAACTACCCTTCGCTGGGGGGATAAAGCATGGGTATTTCCGTACATTGAAGAACAAATATCGCAATTTCCGCCCGTTATAAATTGACAAAAACGAAAGAAACGGCTCTTTCCCATCTTCCCTAGCGAAGAGAGACGGAAGATTTATTCAAGAGAAGCGTATTATTGAGACATCTGCCACCAATTTACAGAGCTGGCTTTGCTCCCTTCCGCTTTCTTTCTTCTCTCTTTCCTTTCTCTCTTCATTCTGTGGATTGGATTCTCTAGGGATCAAAAGGGGTTTTTTGATTTTTCCCTTTCTCTTTTCCAATCTGAGTTTTTCTCTCTCGACCGTTTCGCCGTGCGGCTCGCTGTGGAGGGAGGTGGGGAGAAGCGGAGGGGAATTTGGGGGGGATAGGCAAGCCTTAGCTAGAAATCTGCCTCCTGTGTTTGGAGAGAGGACGGATAAATTTGACAGTGGAGGGTGAAAGCAGCGGAGTCGAGGAGAGGGAAGGAGGAGCCATAGAGCTGCTCGATTCTATTTGTTGTCGTGTTGGGAGTGGAAAGCTGATTGCTTTGCTCTGATTTGGTTTGTGGGTTCTGATTCTGTTTGTTTTTGGGTGAGAAAGAGAGAAAAAATGTGGTGGATGATGGGTGAGAATGGCGGCCATTACTGCTCGAAGAAGACAGATGATATGTGTGGTGATGTTTGCGGCCAGGTAAATGGTTTAATCCTTTCAAATTCCTTCTTTTGGAGAGAAGAGATTTGTTGTTCATTGTTTCACAATCCAGTTCGATCTGTTTGATTGATGCTTTTATTTTCTCCCCTTCGATTCCGCGTGCATTGTGTGTACGGGTCAATGAAACAGGGAGTTGATGTGGATTTGGATCTTCGATATTAGGTTCCTTTCTGTAGATTGTGAAAGTTGCTGGTTTTGAAATTTGTTCTTGTGGTGAATTTCCATCATTTGTTGATTCCAGATTGCTAGGGGGCTTCATGTTGAGATGCTCACAATCTAGGTCGTTCATTTGGCCGTTAGAGGCTCCTTTTAATTAATCTCCCTAGCTCTATAGAGAACTGTATTTTAAGTATATATGCTTTTCGCTTATTGGGGGGCACGTTGTTAAGACCTTTACAGAGGGAACTAACTACTGCCCTTCAAAGCATTATTCTTCAGAATCTCCCCATCTTTTCATGGAATTCACTGACAATTTTTATGAGCTGCTTTGCCTAACTATTCGGTCTTTTACTCTTCAACTTTGACATGTGATCCCATCTTGGGTTAATTATTGGGTATCGTGGCTGTAAAAAACATTGTGGTGAAAACATGCTTTGCCAGCCTTGACGTGAAATTCATCCTGGTTCTGAACGTGAGGTTGTTCCTTTGAAATTTGCAGGATTCTGGTCGGGTCATGAGCATGTCAAGAATCAAGTGCATTCTTCGCGGCGTGGATTTGAAGACGTTGTTGTTCCTCTTCATTCTGGTGCCTACTTGTGTATATGGGATTTATTTACATGGGCAGAAGATCTCGTACTTCTTGCGGCCACTATGGGAATCACCACCAAAAGGCTTCAATGAAATTCCGCATTACTACAATGAGAATGTGACAATGGAGAACCTGTGCAAGCTCCATGGCTGGCAGATTCGGGAGTTTCCAAGGCGTGTCTATGATGCAGTTTTGTTTAGTAATGAGATGGACATCTTAACACTTCGGTGGAAGGAATTGTACCCCTACATAACTCAGTTCATTCTTCTGGAGTCTAATTCTACATTCACTGGGACCGAGAAACTGCTCTATTTCGCCAACCATCGGGACCAGTTCAAATTTATCGAGCCAAGGTTGACCTATGGAAATATTGGTGGCAGGTTCAAGAAGGGAGAGAATCCCTTCATCGAGGAAGCATATCAGCGAGTCGCATTGGACCAACTTATTAAAGTTGCAGGCATCTCAGATGATGATTTGTTGATAATGTCGGATGTTGATGAGATTCCGAGCAAGCATACTATCAATCTCTTGAGATGGTGTGATGACATACCTCAAGTCCTTCACCTCCGGCTGAGAAACTATCTATATTCATTCGAGTTTCTTGTGGATAACAACAGCTGGAGAGCTTCTGTCCACAGGTATAAGATGGGGAAGACCAGGTATGCACACTATCGCCAGTCAGATGACATATTGGCTGAAGCAGGGTGGCATTGCAGTTTTTGTTTCCGACGTGTGAGTGAGTTCATCTTCAAGATGAAGGCTTACAGTCATTTTGATAGAGTGAGGTTCAAACGTTATTTGGACCCTGAAAGAATCCAAAAGGTGATATGCAAAGGTGCAGACTTATTCGATATGCTTCCCGAGGAGTATACCTTCAAGGAAATCATTGGGAAAATGGGTCCTGTCCCTCATTCTTATTCTGCAGTTCACCTTCCTTCTTACCTTTTGGAGAATGCTGATGACTATAAGTTTCTCTTGCCCGGTCATTGCATAAGAGAAAGTGGGTGATTCTGGGTTATGACCTATGACTATCCCTACATTTTGTTGTTGTAAAGGTGAGTTGGATGTCGAGGAATCCAACTCAAATTGTTTGAGGACTCTGATGGATTTGTCGCTATTACAGCCATGCTGCAATCTAGATGTCCCCAACTTGAGGTATTTGGATTGCTTGCGGCAGATTCTTGGAGGATCAATCATTATGTATATAGCCTTTCTTTCGAGCCTGAGCTTGATGATGACAGGAGGTGGTGAGTGGAGTTTGACCATGGCACAAGAAACTTGCTGCGATACGAACAATCTGCTAGTTGTTGTTTACAACACCCTTGTGCTTCTATAGTTCTTAGAACGGATATGAACAAGGATTTTCCTGAGAAAACAATTAATTGTGAGGGTTTAAGCTCGATGATGTCCCTTCATGGAGGGGGAAATTTTGTGTTGGAGACATTTATTTGATGATGTGTCATTAACTCCTTGATTCATGAATATATCCGAAATTCTGTTTAGATCTGTAATTTCATACATGCTTCCATGGTCTTCTAATTACTTGCTGGCCAAGCAAGCAGCTGTGAAATTTCACCTTTTCTTTTTTGAGAAGGTCAAACATCAATGAACTGGACATGGTGGCAAGACATGCTTCTTGCTAAGATTCCACCTCTGCAAGACGTTCGTCTTGTTCCAGGAGGAAAGCTTGCAACTTTTTGCTTCTGCCTTGTTGTATGGAGTTTTTAGGGCAAGACGGACAGTCTGTAAGATTCCAAGCGGCCCCCAATATAATAAATAATTCCGGGACAACATGCTTTTGTTTCCAGAGGAGACCAGACATTTCCCTCTAGCAAGTAATGTTTGTATTTGCCTGTTTCTTTCTCTCTCCTCCACTTGAATCGTTTACTTCTTGTATCCCCGAATGCTTGATTGTGGGCCAATCATTCTCGAGGGTCGGTCGTATCCATTTGAGCTTGTAAATAGCATTAGGACTCGGGAGGAGTTTTGCTTCTCTGTCAATGAAGCTGGCACAGGATGGTAAGACTAATTCCTCTTCTCAAGCTGCATTAATGATTGCTGTAACTGAAGGGTGGTTGTTGCAGCAGCCATTGACTAGCTTCTAATGGGCTGGTGTCCATGTAGTTTAGGCTTGAAAAAACAACACATCGGAGAATGATATTTGAGTGGTGGCTTTGTTTTCAAAATCTAGGTGGGTCTTTCTGTACAATCAACCAGAAGATTAAGGGCTTGTTGGAAAATATAAGGATAGAGAGAGAGAATGAGAGTTGGATTCTGAGGTACAAGGTTGTTGGGGAAACATAGATGAGCCCATATAAGCCCAAAGCCTGATGGGTTTTGGGCCCATTAATGGCCCATCGAGACATGACTTGGGGGGACCAACGGTAAAGGGGCGCATGGCGACAAAATAGGCTCGTGAACAAAGAAGTACGGCTGAGAAGGATCAGAAAAGCACCACGTAGGCGGATGGTCCCCCCATGCGCCCTGACACCCGAGCCTGATGATGCGCCACGTGGAGGCGCTCGGACGTTGGACCAGACCAAGCATTAAATGCCTTAGCTGACGTAAGGCTTGGTGGCAGGAGTTGGTCGGAGCCTGGTCGAGGAGCTCGAGTAGTATAAATAGCACTCGGTAGGTGGCATTTACTCATGTCGGTTTCTCTGACTAAAGTTCTACTTCCTCACTTATCTCTCTAGAACTAGCACTGACTTGATCGTTGGAGTGCTAACGAGTGGCTCCAGCCCTCTAGGCGTTAGTTTTGCAGGGTCTGAGCGCCTGTGGTGCGGCGGTTAGGGTGCGCTTGGAAGAGTGAAGTATCCGGGCTTCAACAATTGGCGCGCCAGGAAGGGGGGCATAGCCTGAGAGGATATAGGAAGATGGAAGACTTGAATGAAGAAAATGCGGGCGTGGACGATGCGAGGACGGAGGACTCCAGTCATGAGGGGAGCGGGCAACGGTCTAGCCCAGTGGTGAGCATGGAGGTAGAGGAAGAAAGTCGTGAGCACCCATCTTTTGAGAGTGACTCATTGTCAAAGAGGGAGCTGTTTAAGATCATCGCGGACCAGAACAAGGCAATAGCCATGCTTCGGAGGGAATTGGAAGGAGGAAGGAGCGCCGATACAAGAGAGTACAGCCCCCCAATAAGGAAGCGTGACAGGCTCATGGATGATTCGGACGTTAGTGAGTACGGGCGCCCATACTATGAAGGGCCGCATGCGGAAGTTACACCACCTAGGCGCCCGGGTGTGTGGAGAGCGCCTGGTGAGTTGGCCGGCTCGGGGCCGGAGGAGCAAAACCCATGGACGCCTAGACGCCAGACCAGGCGCTTTGGGATCAGGCAACCCCTGGCGCAAGTGAATGGTTTGAAAATGGTTTGAAAATGGTTTGAAAATGGTGATACTGACTTGTTCCATCCCTTCTCACGGCAGCAAGACATCTGGTGGAAAAGAGCAGATGCGATAGAAATGGGATCAACAACTTTCGTCCGAAGGATTCCTCGAGATGATGATGTGGTGCAAGAGAATCCAACAATTTGTGAAAATTGCAGCCACTATTAATTAGTTGCTTATGCTTGTGAATGAAATGTGAGAGGGATGACAAGGCTACCCCAAAAATTTTGGGTTTTTTAGTCAATGTGGAGAATTTTCTTCTTGTTCGGGTAATGGTAAACACCTGCAAAAAAAGTTGTGAGATGAGTTGGAGATGAATTTAGGGTGTAATTCAGACTATTCAGTATTCAATTTCTATGTCCGTATTCAATTTCTTTTTTATTACATGCAATCAATTATATGTTATTTTATTTGTTCTCCGACAAAATTTCTAATAAACAGAACTCTGAACTCTTTCATTTGATGCTAGCTGTATCTAATTTGGAAAAGAATTATAAGTGACAGAATACAAATGGATAAATGACAGTAAAGAAAGATGTGTTTATTAAAGCTTCATAAGGAAACTATAAATACGTGATTTTTTTATGCAATCTCAGAGCACATGGGTCTCAAGTTATGAATACTTTCTTGTTCAACTCTATCCAAGGCATGGCAGCATTTGAAACATCTGCAGCCAAACTTACAGAAACTAAAGGAAAACCAGCACTTATAAACATACTACCAACCTAAACATAAATCAGACAGACCTTGCTGGGAGATCCAAGTCAGTAGCCACTCTGCATCTAACAACTACTTTAACTTCACGACACAAATTTTCAGGAGCTCTAGCTGATCTATTCCCATACATCCTACTTAGGGCTGGAAGTTTGGTACCGGTATTTGGGATATACCAATACCGTACCGAATTTGTCTATATTTGGTATTACCGAATACACGTATTATTTCTTGGGATTGAGATTGAGATTGAATTTCAATTGTTATTCGGTATTAGGGATTACGGGATTGGGATAGGTATTATACCGAAATACCGTTCAATAGTGAAATATAAGCTAGTGTGTGTTTTATCCTCTCAGCTAGACTCTCTCATTCACTACTACACGACCCTCAACCACCAAGAGTGTCATTTAATTATACATAGATCATTCCATCACTATGATAGTCGTCTCTCAGTCTCCAATTAGTCAAATTAAAGATTACCAATGACAAGAACTTGAGATGTCTCCTCTTCTCCATTCTCTTTAATGATATCCTAATTCAAGATTCTTTACTTAGCCTTTTTCCCTAAATTAAACAATAAAATCTAATGTATATATTTAATTATTAATTGTAAAGGTAATTAATTTCGTATTCGATAATACCAATTGGGATACCGAAGTACAGATTGGGATACCGAAATATTTAGGGATTGGGATACCGAAATTATTTAGAGTTTGGGATTGAGATTGACTTTAGGGTGTAATTCAGTATTCGAAATTTTGGTATTTGGTATTGGTATACGGATACCGTACCGATTTCCACCCTAATCCTACTGCATCTTTCGCGCCAAACAAGACTGAGGGTGACGCACCAAACCAATCTGCAAATTCTGGACACAAACGAGTTATTGCACCAATGAGCAACACACACAATTCCACTACATCCCCTACTTTTTTTTACACCACTAACTAAAGAAAAAAAGGGTAACAATAAAAAGTGAAAGAACATTTCAACCATAATGCCAAGGAATTGGATCAAAAGTGTTCTTCTTCCACATTGAACTGTCTGGGAATGAGATGCATTCTTACCATCACAACTTAACAACAAATTTATGCCTATAAAAGGCTCCCTCTCATTCACCAACACTCACATCTCTCTCAACATAGCCAAATAATCATATCAGACATCACACTTTTCAGTGACCCCTTCCCCACTTAGATGAGGCGTGCTGGTTTCTTTGAAGAGGGCTACTCAGCTCGTGAGGAAGAGTCATATCACTCCGAGGAAGAGTTCCACAGCAGCAATGCCTCTTCTGGTGGGATGAAGCTTTTTCAGCCTTCCAAATGCCCAACCAGGGCAGGCCATGATGCTGCAGGATGGAACAACAACATTAACAAGTTCAATCACACCTTCATACACGAGGAAGAAGCAATGACGGGATACAATCGATTTAGTGACTTCAACGACAGCTTTGGTGATGGCTATGGCGGGCACAATGGCTGCAGCAACGCTGACTGGATGTAAAAGGCGATATAATAAGTAACGTCCGTCTCAAGGAAGCTAGGAAGTGTGTTGGGACTATGGCTTTCTTCACTGATAATAAGTGTGCCTGTTTGTGCTTGGTTTGTGTGTCTTGTTTGATGGTTGTTCTGATGTGGCTTAGTAGCTGGTCTACTTTGCTGGCCTCTGAATATGTGTATTGCTGCTGTCAGAGGTTTCTTATGAGCTTGATTCCCTTGTTTTAGCATGATTTCATAAGAGTGGCAACATAAGCAACTAGATGAAAAGCAATGCAATCAAAGATGAAGAGTTTCAACTGTAATGTGATTCTTCTGGCCCAAATTGCTTGCGTGATTAAGGGAGGGTGTTTAAGGTAGATGCCATGGCCCATGAGCACTTAGAAACCCTGGTAAAAGGTTAGATTTATTCTTTCAGCATTACTATATGTTGGGGGTACCACTAGGGGCCCAAAGAGAGGCCCAAGAAGGGCCCATTCAGGCAGGAGTAGTCTTAGACAATTATCCAGCAGAAGAAGCCCGCAAATGGGCCCGCGAAGCCCATTCCATACAAGGTGGAAGAGGCATGAGGACAAAGCGCTAAAGGCCAAAGAAGTCCAGGTTGGCAAGTGGTCCCCCGCCTGCAGGCGCCTGCTAGTCGTCAGAAGCCTGACAAGGCGGTTGAGGCATCTGACAGGATTGAAGGTACAAAGCATTAAATGCGACGCTGACGTAGAGGAGATCAACCTCGAGTTGGGTGAGTATAAATAGGGGCAGTTGGTAGCATTTACACAGGTTGGACTCTCTCACTAAAACTCATTATCTACACACTTCTCTCTCTAGAAAGAGACTGACTTGATTGTCGGAGGGTTAACGGGCCCGGGCGGCCCCCTCTGTGTTTGTGTGTGTAGGCAAGCGCCTAGCATCAAGGGCGTGGGAGTGGTGACGAGGCGTCAAGGCACAAACAATTGGCGCGCCAGAAAGGAGAATATAACCAACAATCATGAGTATGGAGGCGCCTATGAGTGGAGAGGAAGAGGAGATCACGGAAAACCAGTCTGAGGGAATGAGGGGGCTGACGCCCGAGATCGAGGAAGGTGAGGGAAGCGATGTCATGTTCCGAGGATCGGAGGTCGCCTCGGTCACTAAAAAGGAGTTGTTTAGGATCATCGAGGATCAGGATGAGGCGATCGAGGTGCTTCGACGGGAAGTTGAGGCTCTAAAGAGAGGAGAAGGGATGGCGCCCAGCCCGACTTCCAAGAAAAGGAAAAGGATTGCGGAGACGGAAAGTGAGTCTGGACAACTGAGGCGCCCAAACACATGGCGCCCACATGATCGCAATGGTTCAGATTTCAATGGGTGGAACACGGGAATCATGGGGGGCCTATCGCGCCATTGCTCCATAAGGCAGCCCCTGGCCCGGAATATACTGATGGAGCCCGCCGGAACTAACATATCCCCTCTCCCGACCTATGACGAAACGGCGGATCCGGATGACCACTTAAACGGGTACTTCACCAAGTTGTAGCTTTAGAATAGCTCCGACGCGACTCTATCCAAAGTGTTACCATCAACATTCGCGGGCGTGGTCCTCGTATGGTACCATCAGATCGATGAGGGCCGCATCGACTGCTTCAAGTAGTTTGCGGCGATGTTTTTGCAAAAATTTGCCAGCAGAAAGCGTCGCTCCCTAACTATAGGTGCCCTCTTCAAAGTCAAGCAAAAAGAGGGAGAGGCCCTGAGAGAATTTTACGAAAGATGGCTCTCAATAGTCCTGGCAGTAAAAGAGAGATTTTTCCAGAAATAACACATTTAAAAAAAAATTACAAAAATAGCTCCCATCCAAAAAAATTTACACTAATAGCACCCTTTTTAATGGACCGCACCTTAGAGGTGTGTTTTATATTTAAACCGCACCCTAAGGGTGCGTTTTATACATAAACCGCACCTCTAAGGTGAGGTCCATATTCCTGGACCAAAACCGCATCTTGGCCAAGCGGTTTTAGGTCTGACCTACAGAAACCGCTTGGCCAAGGTGCGGTTTTGGCCTGACCTATCAAAATCGCATCATGAAGGTGCGGTTTGTTTCTCCCAAAAAAAACCGCACCCCCAAGGTGAGATTTTGCCTTACAAACCGCACCTCCATTTCCGACATGCCATGCAGAATAACAGACGTAACAGACGTGGGTCTGTATGGGCCTGCATGGCAGACGAAAACCGCACCTCTAAGGTGCGGTTTTCATTAGTGATTTTGCCTATAAAAGGCCTCCTGGAAAACCACTTCTCTTCACACCTCTCCTTCTCCCTTTTCAATTTTCTGTTGTAGCTCTATATTTCTTTAGTAGTTTTGCGATTAATGTTAACTCGTAAGTTTATTTAGTATTACTTTTTATTGTTATTTTTTATTTTTGATTTTTATGATATTAACTTAACTACGGTTTTATCGCAGATGGCATTCCAAAAGTTCACGCTTGTCTTAAGGTGGAATGGTTACACGGAAGAAACCGAAAAGGGGGTCACCTACGTCGGTGGCAATTTTCAGAAGATAAAGGTCGCTACCAGACCGTTGCTTGAAGACCTCCTTCAAATGTGCACTAACGTTACTTGCATGGATGGCACGAGAAGTGTTGATCGTATGGTGTACCGATATCCAAACAGGAATATCTCATAACCACTTAGGATGAGGTAGATGCCATGCTCGAATTCATGAGGTCCAACAATCTTTCCAAATCCGAGATGTTCGTTTACACCGAGCCGGTTGTAGGCGTTGGAGGTCATTCTGGACACGGTCAAACATCTGGTATCCATGGTGGAGGTGAATTACATGGCGATCATCCCTACCAAAGTTACCATGATCCTCATTCATATTTTCAGTACCAAGAGCAAGGTGAAGGTCATCATCAATCTTTCCTGTCATATGAAGAGAAGTTCAATCGGACCTCCCCAACCAACCTCAGTACAACTTCCACTCAGGCAGCGGTAGTTTTCACAACTACCAATATGGAGCTGATGAAGGTGCCTTTCATGAGCTGGATCAGATGGAGGATGCCCTGCCAGCACCAGTCAGTGACCCCTCCGATGAAGAAGGAGAGAACAACGTCAGTGCAGACAGCTCCGACCCTCTTGAAGGTGCTGATGATTCAGGACCAGAGTCAGACTCAGCTAATGATGATGAGGTGGCTCGTGACCGTGTACCAGTCCCCTACTACAATCACATTCCAGACGACAATTGGATGGTCGACAACGACATTGAGCCGCCAGAGATCCCAATATGGGGTCCACTCACTGGGTTTATGAAGGGCCAACAATTTGGCTCGAAGAAGGAGGTGCGGAACGCCATTGAGATAGAAGCAATGACTCGGCATTTTGAATGGCACACAACTCATTCCAGCACTAAAAGGCTCATAGTCAGATGCCGTAATCATCACGAGGGGTGCAATGTTAGGATTCGGGCCATCAACAGCAAGAGGCATGGCCACTGGGTCATATCTCGTGAGGTGAACACACACACATGTGTGTCATCCATGGCTATCCAGCATCTAATTGAGCAAGATCTGGACCTGAAGGTGAAAGTCATAATCGCTGACATTGCAAGTCGTTATGGTTATATGATTAACTATAAGAAGGCATGGCATGGAAAGCAGAAAGCTCTGGCCGCCGTCTTTGGTGATTGGGAAGAATCATATGCATTCCTTCCCAGGTTAATTTTGGCAATGGAGGCGTCTAACCCTGGCAAGGTTTTCTCCCCTCTATACCAAGATGAAGAGATACAACCCCCAGAGCCAGGTAACAAGCGCCATTTCAGACGACTTTTTTGGGCATTCAAGCCATCTATTGATGGTTTTGGCTTCTGTGTCCCTGTCATCCAAGTGGATGGTACATTCCTTACCGGCAAGTACAAGGGCACTCTCCTGATTGCCAGTGGGGCGGATGCAAACAGACAAGTCTTTCCTTTAGCCTTCGCCATCGTTGAGGAAGAGAATGCTGAAAGCTATGGATGGTTTTTCCGGAAAATTCAGCTCCACGTCACTAGGAGGACGAACCTGACAATAATCTCTGATCGGCACGCCGGCATTAGAGCTGCCATCTTAGGTTTAGATCCAGCCTGGAAGTGGTCCCAAAGGTGGTGCATACGACACTTCAAGAGCAACTGGAACCATCATTTCAAATGGAAGAAGCTTGCTGATAATTTGTGGTGGATTGGTAAGTTTGTAACTAGCCGTATAATTTGTGGTAGATAACAATATCTTGTAATCAGGAGAGTGGTGCACTTGTTAGACTCTTTCTAAAGTGATGCATGCCTAAGGAAATGGGATTTTAAGCGATTATTATGATCCTCCCATTTCCTGGGAAAATCGGGTTTTAAGCGATCTTCGGATCCCCCCTTTTTCTGTCAAACAGGCTGTGTTTCTAAGGAGATGTATACCTCTCTTAAGAGTCTAACGAGAGTACCTCCGGGTTGTTCGAATTGTACTAAACTGCCGAAAAGACTAACGTACTACTTTTCTGTGTCTTCCTCAGCAGTTGCCTACCAAGAGAAAAAAATTCTGGAGAAGATGCAGAAGTTGCGTGAGTTATGCCCTGAAGGGGCACAGTGGCTGGATGAACACGACCTATCCATGTGGACATTTCATAAAGATGGAGGGACAAGATGGGGTATTACCACAATGAACTCAGGTGAGAGTATCAACTCTGTCTACAAGGTCGTTCATGCACTGCCAATCTCTGCCATTGTGGAGATGAATTTTTGGAAAACGAATGCATGGTTCGTCAACCGACTCCGCTGGGCAAGGACGAACGAGGCACAGGGAAAGGTCCATGCCTATAAAGTCATGGAAGTAATAGAGAATGACAAATCGCAAGAGCAGTCGACATAGTGTAACCGTTATGAATCGGGCAAATGGCGAGTATAGCGTGACAACCGGACATCGGGATGATGGTAGACGGGGGGGCCACCGCCATGAAGTTTTGGTCAATTTCAGGACAAAAGTTGGTGAGTGCTCATGCCAGAAGTATCAGAGGAGAGGGTGGCCTTGTTCTCATGCAATGGCCGTAATTAAAAACAAGAGCAAAGACCCCCGTCACTTTGTTAGTCCATTCTTCAATATTGACTCACTCAAAAACACCTATGGACGGAGTTTACGTGCATTGCTTGATGAAGCTTATTGGCCGCTGTACGAAGGAAAATTGATCATCCCGCCATTCGGACAGAGGCGTGAACCGGGTCGCCCGAGGAAAAAGAGAATTCATAACGAAATGGATCAAAGTGGAAGACCACCACGAGGCCCAAGACGATGTTCAATATGCAAAGTTCCAGGACATGATAAACGAAGGTGTCCAGGACCGATTGGTCCGCAAAATATGGGTGTTGATGTGCCGGACTCAGCTAATGCGACATAGTTTGCTTTTATCATTTTTTCCAAGCTAGTTGAGACTCTTACTTTGCAAGTAATTGTGTATTGTTGATTGAACAAAATGTGTATTGTGTATCGTTGCTTTTATCGTTCTTTGGCGAAGGGAACGAGTGTATTGTGCAAAGATCATAATTTTTCTTTCTCCTCTATTTTCAATCCAATCTCTTCTCTCCACTGTATTGTTGATTGAACGAATTGGGATTATATCAAGATAAAAGGAATAGTTCCAAGGGAATAGAAATAAAACCAAATTGAAACAACACTTAATTAAATAAACTAAGATAATATGAATAGTTCTTTGTTATTGAAATAAAAAACAA